GGAATTCCCCGGTTATTCCTTGGTTAACAGGTTCAGGAAGGTGTCCCAGCCCCGGTAAGACACAGGGCAAGGAGCGTTGGACCATTTCAGGAGCGAGAGGAGTGGAGCCAGGCTCAGGGGTGTGCACAGTGAGTCTGTGGCCATGTCAGAGCGCCCAGCACAGCTCTGACGTCCAGCAGAGGGCAGGCTTCCAGGAACCCTTGTTTCCTGTAGCTATTTGCTCCCCTCTTCTGGCATCTTTCTGAGACCCCCAAAGGTCTTTTTGGATGCCCAGGGGGCAAGATCCCTGCCACCAATCCTCTTTTGTGCCAAAGAGGCTCAGTGCCCTCCTTAATTAACTAGGTTTCTTGGCTCCCACCTGGGCAGGCCAGTGTGGCAAACAGGGCCCCTGGTCTCAGCCGCTGCTGTGCTGCTGGCGGGAGACCGGAGGAAAGGGCCTGAGATGTGCTTGGAATCCCAGGCTCGGCGGTCCAGTCCCTGACCCACACTGCCCCTGTGTGGTGAGTCTGGAGAAGCTGGCACACCCCTGCAGGGATGAGCAGGGCTTCAGTCTCAGACTTCACAGACTGCATTCTAAGGCCAGAGAGGACCCAGATCAAACCACTCACCTAAAGGAGGGAAACTGAGGCCTGGAGAGGGAAAGCAATTTACCCAAAACGATAGCTACATCGAGTTACCAAACACGCCTCACACACAGGTTCCCTGGATTTAGATTCCACCCCAGTGATTTGCAGAAGTAACAATCGTTTTGTTAGTGTTAGGCAGAGGTGACTCGGTGGCAGGCATCTGGTGCTCATGCACAGTCGACGGAGGGTGAACTGCTGCCGCCAGGTCAGACGGCAGTCTGGCTGGCTGGCAGCACTTGACTGGGGAACTGACCCGGTGATCCCTCAGACAGGAATTATTCTACAGAAACGCTCCAACGTGCAAAAAGTAAAATGCATGAGGCTTTCCGTGACTGCAGTTTGTAACAGCCAGAAATTGGAAATCTCCTACAGTATTTGACTATCCTTAGGAATGGGTTAAGTAAACTACTATGTATCCAGACAGTAGGATGTAATGCAATGAGGGTGGGGGGCACCATTATGTCCTGACTTGGGAAAATATCTTACATATATGCCAAGCAAAGAAAGCAATTTGGGAAAAGATATGTTTATGACTCCATTAAAAGAAATAGTCTAAAGGATAAAAACAAAACTATTAACTCTGGCCCCCGCTCCTTGAATGGAGAAAGAATTTTCACTCTATATTTTAAAGATTTTTTTTTTGTAATGTGTAATTTTTTAAAAATTCAGCATGTATTGAATTTTAGCTTTAAGTAAGGGAGGTTTTCTTAATCGGCTTTATTTTTAAGAGCAACTTCAGGTTCACGCCCAGATTGACAGGAAAGTACCGAGATTTCCCATGTATACCCCGCCACCCCGTGTTCACAGCCTCCCCCTCATCAGCATTCCTCACTCCTCACCAGAGCGTTCCTTTGTTACAGCTGATGAACCTACATTGACATCACTGTCATCCAAAGTCCATAGTTTACAATAGGGCTCACTCTTGCTGTTGTACATTTAATGGCTTTGGACAAATGTACAACAACATGTATCCACCATTATAGCATCATATGGAGTAGTTTTGCAGCCCTAAACATTCTCTGCGCTCTGCCTATTCATCCCTTTATGTACCACTTTTGTAATATACAAATCTGCAGAGGAAATGAAGGTGTGTTTCATGTCCAGAAAGAATGTACCATCTGGGTGATGAACAAAGACTCAGCCAGCCCTGGGATAGCGTAACGACACTTTTGGGAAAACAGTAAAATAAGAGAGTAAGATCTGGTTGTCTGCGTTCCATGGGGAAGAGAATAGAGAAGTCGATCTGAGATGGGCGAGGTTAATAGGAGCAGAGTTCCTGCAGGAGGGTGATGACTGGGCCAGGATATAAAGTATATTTGGAAATTGGCCACCGTTTATTATTATTTTCAAGGTGCCAGGCCCTGTGTCAAAAATTTTACATCGATATTTTCATGTGTTCAAAACAACCCTATGAAACAGACATTGTCCACACTTTATGGATGAGAGAATTGAGCCTGAAAGGGCCAATAACTTTTCTAAAGTCAAACAGCCAACACACACAAAAAGAGGATTCAAAACCAGGTCTGTGTGACCCAAACCCTGTGCGTCAGCCACTGGCAACACTGCCTAAATCGGCCGAGGGAAAGAATAATCATATCTGCATTTCAACTGGGGCCTTCTGTGCAGCGTCTTAATCCAAAGATGTATCGGGGGTGGTGAGACGAAAACCTGATGGTACAAGTCAGACCACAAGGTGTGCCCTCATCAGCCTCCCCTGCAGCTAACCTGGAATGTAGCCCACTCCCACAGCTCCCCCCGAGTTGAGAAAAGAGGTCAGTGTACTTAATTAGCACATACATTGGGGAAGGAGGGCCCCTTTTCCAAGTGGAACCCCTTCCTGACAGCCCTGCCCCGGGATCCCAGCCATCTCCCCCAACCGCCATCCCTGGGTTGCTAAGCAGAGAAGAAGGAGGCTCCCTGTGACAACAGGCTAAACCTCAAATAATCAAGAAGGTGAAGTGCTGGGGGGGAGTGGAGGGGGGGTCTCAAGTGCAATCCCAAATCAAAGACAGGAATTCTTGTGGCATTTCTGCCACCACCTGTGGAATCTTCAGCCACTCTCCGGGTTTTGGAGTCCCCATCTGCAAAACAAGGAGTTTGGACACAATTGCTGAGGCCCCCCCATTCGTATATTCTAGAGGTGCATGCTCTCCATTCACAGTCACTGAGGAGATAAGACAGGAATACAAAAGTCACTGTACCGAAGGCAGAGTGGCACAGTTAGGGACATAGATGGAAGTTGCAACATGTTCTGTAAAGTATAATCCCATATAAATATATATTTAAATATGAATATTCAACATAAAAATATCTGAAAGTTCATGCACCAAATGTGATTTCTCTGCATTGAGAGGTTATGTGTACTTTTTAAATATTTTTTTCTTTTAGCTTGTTTATATTTTCTCATATTCTTCAAAAGGTATTATTAGTAGTACTTAAAAAACAGAAGATGTTTTATATTCTAACAGAATTTAGTTTAAAATCCCAGCTGTACTGCAAACATGCTGTGTGACCTGGAGCAAATCACTTAACCTCTCCAAGTCTCAGTTGCCTTGCATTTAAAATGGAAATTGTTTTTAACTTAATATGACCATAAAATGTTTTTGGGCTCACATTCAAAGGGATGAGTTAATCATGTTTCTCAGTCCATACCACCTCTTCATCATAGGTCTGTGTTGGTGTCTTTCTTATTTTATCGATTTACTTCCTTTTATTCCCATTCCTCGTTCCCATTTCCCTCTGCCTCCACCTTTAGGTATTCATTTTGTGTTTAATATCATGTTTGTTTGTTTTTTGTTTGACAGTATTGTTTCAAAATGTGTGTGGTTTGCCCCTGGCCGGTTTTGCTCAGTGGTTAGAGTGTCGGCCCGCGGACCAGAGAGTCCCTGGTTTGGTTCCCACTAAGGGCACGTACTTTGGTTGCAGTTCATCCGTCCCGGCCCCGGTTGGGGTCGTGTGGGTGGCAGCCACTCAATGTGTCTCTCTCACGTTGATGTTTCTCTCTCTCTCTTCCTTCTTCTCTCCTTCCCACTCTATCTGAAGATAAATGCAAAAATGTCCTCAGGTGAGGATTAAAAAAAAATAGAATTAAAAAAAAAATGTGTGTGGTTTGGCATGTTACTTAAATAGTATAATGTTATAAATCTCATTGTTTTCTACATTTTTCACAAAGAACAATGTATTTGAGACCTTCCCATATTGTTAGATGGACTTGTCAACTGGGACCTCTAAATGGTACATAATCTCCGTGCATCTACCCCACTCTACCTTTCCAGAATTCCCAGGAGGCAGACTTTCTCCAGCTCCCTGTGGCCACAAACACTGCCCTGAGCATGCTCATTTATGTCCGTTATGGACACACGTAAGACATCTTTGAGCTCCAAGCCCTGGAGCAGAATTGCTAGGTTAGGAGGTGTGTGTATACTTAATAGGACCACCGGGTGTTAGAATCTTCTCCAGTTCTTCACAGCCTCTGCACCCACCAGCCATGCAGAAGGCTCCCAGTGTCCCCACAGCCCTGCCTACACTTGGTACTGTTCAGCTTCCTAATCTGTGTCAGCCTAATAGATATAAAGTATATCTCTGTGTGGTTTTCATTTTAATCTGTTTGACTGCCTAATATTTTGAGCATCTTGTCATGTGCTCATTAGCCCTCAGGTTTCCTATTTTGTACATTTCCTGTTCATTTTCTTTGTCCATATTTCTACTGGGAATGCAGTCTTTTTCTTGTTGATTTGCAGGAGTCCTTATATATTCTAAATACCAACCCCTTGACTGTCTTAGGCGTTGTAAATATCTTCTTCCACCCTCTTCTTGTAGTTTATCTTTTTGAGGTCATTTTTCTTCATCCCTAGATAAAAAAAAAAAAAGATTGTCCTTTTCATTTTCTTCTGCCTTTGAAGTTTTGCCTTTCATATTTAGTTCTGTAATATATCTCACATTTGCCATGGAAATAAGTGAGCATCTACTTCTTAGTATTTTGTGACGGATAAAATAATATAGATAAAATACCAGCAGAGTGCCTCTGACCCAAAGAATGTGTGCAGTTGTGGGTGATTACTCACGTCATTTGAGCAGAAACTGGTGACACTACCCTAAGCAATCTAGAGATCCCGGAGCGTAGATGCTGTCCAGCTAGAGCAGGAAAGCTTTCGTGGGCGAAGGGGAGGTTACCCAGGTTGGCCCTAATCGTGAATGTGTGATTCATTCATTTGGGGACAGAAAGGTGAACATTCCAGAAGCGGCCTTGGGCCAAGCAAGTCCTGGCAGTCTCCTGCCGGTGGGTAGTGTTCAGGTGGAGCCCAGAGGAGAGGACCTGACTACTCACAAACTGCTGTCTTTCTGCCCGTGCCCACCCCACCCTTCCCCCTGCAGGCTCCCTGTTCTCCACCCTGAAGCCCCCCGACACCGTGTTCAAGGTGGTGTTCTGGCTGGGCTACTTCAACAGCTGCCTCAACCCCATCATCTACCCGTGCTCCAGCAAGGAGTTCAAGCGCGCCTTCCTGCGCATCCTCGGGTGCCAGTGCCGCGCCCGCCGCCGCCGCCGCCGCCGCCGCCGCCTGGGCAACTGCGCCTACACCTACCGGCCGTGGACGCGCGGCTGCTCGCTGGAGCGCTCGCAGTCGCGCAAGGACTCGCTGGACGACTGCGGCAGCTGCCTGAGCGGCAGCCAGCGGACCCTGCCCTCGGCCTCGCCGAGCCCCGGCTACCTGGGCCGCGGCGCGCCGCCGCCCGTCGAGCTGTGCGCCTTCCCGGAGTGGAGAGCGCCCGGCGCCCTGCTGAGCCTGCCCGAGCCCCCCGGCCCCTGCGGCCGCCACGACTCGGGCCCGCTCTTCGCCTTCAAGCTCCTGGCCGAGCCCGAGAGCCCCGGGACCGACGAGGGCGCGAGCAACGGGGGCTGCGAGACCGCGGCCGACGTGGCCAACGGGCAGCCCGGCTTCAAAACCAACATGCCCCTGGCGCCCGGGCCGTTGTAGGGCCCGCGCCCAGCTTCCTTTCCCTGGGGAGGCAGTCCTGGCGGGGGCGGGGCGCAGGGGAGTGTCGGCGCCTGGGGGACCCGGGCCCCAGAGGAACCGGGGCGGGGGGCGGGGAGAGGGGCAGCTGCTTTTCTGGCAGGGGCATGGGTGCCAGGTACAGCGTGGAGAGCTGGGCCGAGCATGCCGAGAGCCTGGGGACCCGACGCCGGCCGGGATTACGTCTCTCTCTCTGTGTATATATATGTAAACGAGTCCCTCCGTACATGTATTTAACCGTGGGTACACGTGCGTGTGTCTGTGCGGTGTACGTGTGGTCTGCATGTGTGCGTGTGTGGGGCAGAGCGAGTGTGCGCCCAGGGGGCAGTGGGGGCCTTGTTTGTCTCGCGACTTCGTACCTCTCAAGCCCCTCTTTGTACTACTACACTGAACGTTGGCACTTTGGCGGGGTTGGAAACAAAAGTCGGACATTAAAGGTCATTTCTCCTGTGCGGCTGTGAGTACTTTGTCATCAAGGTGGCAGGCAGGGTCTGGTGTTTCCTTTCCCTTCCCCTTCAGATTTGTCTCAATCCCTTCCGCTGTCCTGTGGGCAATAGTTGTGATGCCCCCCACCCAGATCCACTTCTGTCTTTGCCATTACTGCCCCCCTCCCCAGAGCTAAACAGATCTGACCCTGTGGCTGCAAGTGACCCATTGGACTTGTCTCATAAATCCTGCTTGCTGTACTGTATTTAAATCCTCCTGCTGTACTGGGCAGTGTCTGGCCTGACCCTGACCTCTAGTAACCCAAATCTATCTGGGGCTTCTTGTCCAGGACCCTAGGTGGGTCTGTCACCTGAGAGGGGATGGGACCCAGACAGAGAAATGGAGTGGTCCCCCTCCTCCCCAGAACCCTAGGCCAAACACTCCATTGTTTGCCTGTGCCCACAGAACCTGAAAAAGAAATCTAGACTGCAGAATTTTCTGGATAAGATATGGATCCATGTGGCCAAGCGACACACATGGGTACAAGATCCCTCCTAAGCTCTTCTAACTGGCCACCTGCCTGAGAAAGAAACACAGGAAAGTCATGCAGAGGCGGATCATATCTCAGAAAAGGTAACCTCAACTCTGGTATCAGGCCTGCGACTGATGACTGTATGACCTCGAGAAAGTCACACCCCATCTCTAGTTCTTTGTTTCCCATCTCTGTAATGATGGGGTTGATTCCAAGGTCTTTTCTACCTCTAAAAGCTTCCAGTTTCCTAAAGAAAAAAGGGAGCATTTTTCTTTTTCTTTTTTTAATCCTCACCCAAGGACATGCTTAGAGAGAGAAAGAAACGGGGAGAGGGAGAGAGAGAGAGAGAGAGAGAGAGAGAGAAACATCAGTCGATGTGAGAGAGAAACATCAGTCGCCTTCCATATGTGCCCTGACTGGGAATCGAACTGGCAACCCTTTGGTGCCCAGGACAACGCTCAACCAACTGAGCCACTCTGGCCAGGCAGGCAGCATTTTTCTTATCTGCGATTCAAAAGCAGCATGAGAGGAGCATCTCCACCTCAATCCCCTTTTCTCACTGCTTTCCTTTTTCTAAATTGAGCCTCATAATTTTTCAAACGGCAGGAGCCTCTTCCAATAATATTAACACAACAATCTTTTATTCTATAGGTGATTGAAGTAGAAAATGCTTTAAGGGAGTTGTTCATGTAGCTGAAACATGTACGGGGTATCAGGCATGGCTGGATCTAGGAGCTCGAACAAAACTCTTAGCTTACTCACAGGCTCTTACTCTTTTATCTAGCTCCCCCCCCCCTTTTTTTTAGCTCTGCTTAGCTTTATATGTTGTCCTTGTTTCCTTTCTGCAAATAGCTTTCTCATATCATTCTTATAACTTGAACCATACACCACCCCCTCCCAAAAAAGAGAAGATTTCCCTGCAGTTCTGCCAAAAGAAGGGGGAAAAAAGTCCTGGGAAGCTAGAGGTTCTGTATCACATTGCTCTTTTAGACTCTGGTGAAAGCTATAGATATACTGCCAAAAAAATTCACATACAAAAAAATTTACATTTTCCTGTGATTTCAGGTGACTCACCCCTGTTTAAGATGTGATTAATTAAGCCTGATAGCCCAGATCCCCAGGTTATTTAAGCTAAACTGGATTTTCAGAATTTTCTAGGCTAAGCCCCTCATCTCTACAGAGGAGACTAAGGGAACAACTTGACCACATCACGAACTAGACCCAAGTCTGCTGCCTCCCTGTCCGGTACCTTTTACAGCCCCTTGCACTGCCCTCCTGGGGTTGAGTACCTCACCCAGCAGAGAGCAGGTCTCTTCTTGCCCCTGCAGAGGAAAGGTCCGCGGGGAAGAGGAGCCTGGATCCAGTTCCTAGGGAAGGAGAACAGTTTGGGGTAGTCCTCTGAAAGTATTTTGTTAGCAACACAAATCTGTCAAACCAGCCTTACACGGAATTCTGATGTAGGTGTGGCCCAGAGTGAGGTGGGGAGAGAGGACAGAGCCTCCCCCACCTAGCCATTGCCTCTCCCTTCTCCTGCCCCCCCCCCCCAGTCCTTGTCGCTGGCCTGCCCAAGCACCCTAGGACTCCACACCAAGAGGACTGAAGACTGCTGATCTAGTGCAAGTGAATAGGCCTGGGAGTCAGTGGGACCTGGGTTCAAGTCAGCACTCTGTGACCTTGAACAATTCTCCTTGCCTCTTCTGGTCTGTTTCCCCATCTGTCAAATGGATATGGTCATCACAGTCCACCAGGAAGCGAACAGGATTCCGTAAGATCATTGTGGTATAAACACTGAACTGGAAATCACTGGGCAAATGCAAGTTATAATTTGGACCTCGGATATCTGAAGCCACAGGCACTAAAGCATTTCCTGAGCCACTCAGTTCTGATGACCTCACACATGACTGGTATTTGGAGGCCACCCAGGCACAGGGAGGCAATGGCAGCCGCCTGCCTCTTTCCGGAAAGAAGGCTTACCAGGCAGTGGCTCACATCCCCAACAAGTGCTGGGTTCCAGATCTACCCCCAGCCAGAGCCTGCAGTATGCTGGCCTCTCCAGGTCACCTCTCTGCGGTCATCCAGAGCCCTTGGGGTTAGCAGGCCTTCTCTACTCTGACTCTAGCTGGCGGCAAAGCAGCCCTACTTCATTCTCTCCAGCCGCCCAAGCACTGCTGAGCCATTTGTCGCCACTGGGGCAGGCACTGTGGTACATTTGCCAATCAAAGAGGGAAGTGGTTCAGTAAGGTGGGGTAATAGTTAATGCTCCAGACCTGGGCTCAAATCCCACCTCTGCCATTTAGTAGCTGTGTGACCCCGGGCAAGTCATGACATGGTTCTAAACCTGTTTCCTTAACTAATGAATAAGGACAAAATAGTGCCCACTTCAGAGGGACATTTGGAGAACCAAGTGAGATTCTGAGGGTAAAACAACACCATGCCAGCCACTTGAACAACATCCGAGAAACAGTAGCTAGTAGCAGACACTATTAACCTGTTAACCGAGCGGGACGTATAAATACGTCAAACGTTGCATACAGTAAAAAGGGAATTCCCCGGTTAACAGGTTAATTATTCAATTCTTTGCTTTGATATATAAAGTTTAGAAAATCTGAAGAAAAAGAAAAAGGGTTTTAGGACTCAAGGTCTACCTTGAAGAAAAAAGACACAAGCTTATGACAGAGTAGAAGAATGTTGTGTGCTACAGTGTAAAGAAACATATTACTCAAAGAAGTGATCAACCCAAACTGAGAGCAAACATGACATTTAGTAAAAGTTATGAGTCTCTTACACCACAACAGAGTCTGTTACACCGTAACAGATAACTAGAAACAAAGGGAAGGCCTAACATTTCTACTTAATCTGACCCTGGAATTCACTTCCATAACCGTTACCCCTAGCACCTAACGGGTACCCAACAAGTGTTCATTCTCTCTTGACAGAGCTAGTGAAATTCTGGGCTAGCTTTGAGGTCTGGCACCTTCTAGCCTTGACTTGCAAAGTCGACAGAGGGCATGATAGGAAAAAACAGAAAATTGGGCCAGGAACTGATGTGCTTTGTGGTTGGTTTCTCCCCAGCTTTACTGAGGTATGTTTCATAAATAAAAATTGTATATATTTAAGGTTACAACGTGATGTTTTGATATACATATACATTGTAAAACTCAAGCTAATTAACATATCCATCACCTCACATAGTTACCTTTTTTTGTGTGGCAAGAACATGTAAGGTCTACTCTCTCTGCAAATTTCAAGTTTATAATACAGTGGTTTGAACTATAGTCGCCACGCTATATGTTAGGTCTCCAGAACCTATTCATCCCGCACATAATGGAAACCTCGTACCCTTCAACATCACCTCCCCTTTTCCTCTCCCGCCAGCCCCTGGCACCCACCGTTCTGCTCTCTGCTCCCAGGAGTCCGTGTTTTTAGATTGCACACATAAGTGGGGCCATGCAGTATTTGTCTTTCTGTGCCTGGCTTATTTCACTTAGTATAATGTCCTCCAGGCTCATCCACGCTGTTGCAAATGGCAGGATTTCCTTCTTTTTTAAGGCTGAATAATATTTTAAATTAGGGCAGGCAGCTTTGTGCTCCCCAACCTTGAGGACCTCCAAAGTCTATTTAGTATTGCATTCATTTGCTAGGGCTTCCATAACAAAGTGCCACAGACTGAGTGGCTTAAACAACAGGAGTTGTTTTCTCACAGTTCTAGAGGCTGGAAGTCCCAGATCAAGGTGTCAGTATGGTTGGTTTCTTCTGAGACCTCTTTCCTTGGCTGATGGAAGTCAACGTGACCTCACACAATCTTTCCTGTGTGTGTCTGTGTCCAAATGTCCTCTTCTTATGAGGACAGCAATCATATTGGATTAGAGCCCATCCTAATAACTTATTTTATATTACTTACCTCTTTAAAGACCCTGGCTCCTAACACAGTCACATTCTGAAGTATTGGGGGTCTAGTACTTCAACCTATGAATTGGAGGGGGGCACAACTCAGCACATACAAATATCAGTATCTCAGAACCTTGGGACTAAAGTCATAATGTTAGGGCACATCAATGAGATAGGCATTAGTATTGTCTCATTTTTAGGCTCAGAGAAGTTTAATAACTAGTCCAAGACTATGTGACTTGCAGATGAAAGAGGAGGGCTTGAATCAAACAGCCCATGGACCTTGCCCTGCACACCTCCAGCCTGGAGAAACCTCTGCATGTGGGAGGAAGCACCTCTCACCTTTTGTTTTTTCAAGGGCCCTTCTCCTCCCCACCCACCCTGCCCAAACTGTGCCCTTTCTCTGGTCGTGGGCTTTTAGAAAACAAAAGCCAGGGAATTTTGCAGCTCCTGAACCCCCTCTATTTACACCTCACCTGAAGCTTTGAAGCACAAAGCCTGCTGCCTGCTTGAATGAAAGGAAAGTGATGGGAAGGGGGAGGCAGAAACATGAATGAACAGTGCAACATATCATCCGTTCTCACTACACAGATGTCCCAGCACCC